TGTATGCCTTGACCCAGTGAGCCTCAAGGCTTCCAGAAACTGTTCCTGAACCTTTGGATTGTGTGTGATCGGTGGTTCTGGTTGACTCCTGAGAACTCTTTGACTGTTGCGGTCCGACTCTTGATTTTCCCTGGGCCTACTTTGACTTCAAGAGGTCCTGGCACCTTGATTCGACCCTTGACCTCAGGCCTACTGGCCTAAGGTCCTGGCACCTTGATTTTCCCTGTAGACAAAGGCTCTGGGACCAACTTTTCACCCTAGAGCTTTGGCTTGGACAAAAGCTACAACCCATAGACTTACATATTCTGTGTTGATTTTGATCCCGGTTTCTTGCCCCCTCTGTCAAGACCACTTATAATAAAGAGCGCAATGATCGTCGATCAACGATCCAGAACATATACCAACTCCAGAGTCCAAACAGTCAAGGAATTTTTTTTATGGTCTAGGAATCTATCTGTCTCCTATGCGGGTTACTTTCGGTGAGATTCTACAAAGTCATCACCTTCAAAAAGAGCGCTTCTGCCTTTGCATATTCCTTGAGTCCAATCATCAGCCTCGCCTGTGCAACCTGCAGATGAGGATCCAGATAGATTTCATCAGCTTAATCCTGCCTTTTCTTTTTTTTTGTGCGAACTCAGTCAGGTATGTGGAAACAGGGACGGAACGGTAGTACACTACATCCTTCCTGAGAAAGGAAGCAATCAATGCTGCTGTCTCAGGATCCCTTGGCCTTAACGAAGGGAGGCGTTGAGTGGGTTTTATCAACTTTTATGCTGTATGGGATGCTGGACCTGGTTTCCAGTTTTTTTTTTTTTAATGAAAAAGAGCTTAAACCTGACTTGATAAAGTAAAATTGCATGTTCTCGGGTGAAAGAAGGTCGTCACACCCACAACTGCAATTCCAATTGGGTCACAGTCAATCGTCTTCCGCACTTCAACATTGGCAGAATAATCGGCCTGGACAAGCAATTCCCATTTACGTGTTGACAGAGGGAAAGGATGAACAAGCCAGTTTGGATGTGCCCACCTATAGTGGTTGTGCTCTGACAGCAGACCAAAGGAACAGCAAGTTGACAAGCAGGGTTCAATCATCCGCTCCCCATTTTCTTTGTGACAGCCACGGTTCTTTGTCTGATGCACAGAGACCATCCCCAGACCTGAGGTGTGGCACAAAAAGAGAGTGATGGGCTCCCGAAGAAGGAGAACAAAGACGCCAACTAGAGGGCTACCACTATAGAAAGACTGAGACCTCTCATCGAACCGGAAGAGACAGTGGCAACCAGCGAGGGTGTGCTTGGAATAGCAAAGGACTTCTACCAGGATCTGTATCAGACCAAAACTCAGTCGCCTATCCCACCTGGCATAAAGGAAGCAAGACAAAGAATGCTGCAACATCTGGAACAGACGATATCAGCCGAGCAAGCGGAAGCCTTAGAGAAACCATTAACAGTGGATGAACTCTTCCAAGCACTCAAGAGCATGAATAACGATAAAATCGCCAGGAATTGATGGGTTAACAAAGGAATTCTGGGAGAAATTCTGGCCACTCTTAGGGGGAGACTTAATGAATTTCTACAAGGACAGCTGGGACAAAGGGGGTCTTGGCAATCTCTTGAGTAGCAGTGTTGTCACACTGCTGTACAAAAAGGGAGACAAAGAGGACATTAAAAATTACAGACCAATTTCGTTACTAACGCTCCCTTACAAGATCCTAGCCAAAGCTCTCTCTGCTAGAATTGCGAACTTAACGGACAAATGTTTCCACATTGACCAAGCGGGCTTCATCCCTGGGCGGTATATATTGGATAAGGTATTGACCCTAAACGAGGCAGCGAACAAAGTCAAAGAAAAGAGGATAAACACAGCCATACTCTTCTTTGACTTTGAGAAGGCGTACGACCAAGTCAATTGGTCTTTCATGGACGTGAGTATGGAACGAATGGGTGTGGGACCTAACGTTAGGAAGTGGGTTCAAATTTTGTACAATGATGCCACAGGCTGCGTACAGGTAAATGGGTTCCTATCGGAAAGCTACCCAATTTCCCGTTCGGTTAGGCAAGGAGACCCACTCGCCCCCTCCATCTTTTTATTCGTAATGGAGGCCATTGCGTCATTCCTACAAAAGGACCCCTCCATTCATAGGCTCCCAGAGGTCAATGCAGGGTCGGCTCACCACATGAATTCTCCGACCGCAATCATGTTTGCAGATGACCTTACGGTCCTGATCAGAGCCTCCGACTTCTCATTTAAGACCTTGGCCAAAGCAATGGAAGCCTTCAGATTGGCGTCAGAAATGAGGGTTGATTGGAAGAAAACGATCGAGTGGTGGTTTTCTGATGAGGATCTTCCTCATCTGCAAGGGCCTGAGGCCGCCATGACGTGGGATACGCCGGATACCCCTACCCGCTACCTGGGTATTCTCATGACTAGGGAGGGTCCGGCATCCCAGATGGCCCAAAACGTGCTAACAAAGCAAATAAACAAGCTAGGGAGATGGGGGAACACATTCGCCTCACTAATTGGCTGAGCTCTGGTGCTCAACACATCGGTGTTTTTTATGATGTGGTATATAGCCTCGATATGGACAATACCGGATAACTCAATTAAGGAACTCAACTGCATAGCAAGGACCTATTTATGGACAAGAAATCCCAACAAAAGGGGTGCATCCCCAAGATTGCATGGCAGTACATCATTAGGAAGCCGTTGAATGGGGGTCTAGGGATTATAGACCCTAGATATGAGACAAAAGCCCTCCAAGTTAAGTGGATAGTCAAACTCTTGATGAAGCCAGAAAGCGCGTGGAACAAATTGGCATTAGACAGCATCAGAGCGTTGGCTCCAGTAGCTTCACCAAAAAATATGACGGGTCTGTTTTNGATGAAGCCAGAAAGCGCGTGGAACAAATTGGCATTAGACAGCATCAGAGCGTTGGCTCCAGTAGCTTCACCAAAAAATATGACGGGTCTGTTTTTGATAATGAACAAGGAATGAAACTTGAAAATAGGCAGGACAAGACCAAGAGACGAGGGCCCAATCTCCGAACAGGAGATGAGCACACTTCTGAAGGGTTGCCACAGACGAGGGGTCAATCTCCAATACATTATTAATCACATCCCACAAGACTGGAAATATATTTTGAATGAAGCGTCGCCCTGGAAGTTCGGAGAGTGGGGAGTTAAGTTGCAAGAGTTCCCGCCATCAGGAGTCTTCCAATTCTCACACATGCAACCGGGATCAACCACCAAAGTCGTCTTTTCCTCCTTCCCGATTTCCTCGTCCAAGCAGGGTATTAAGACTATCAGGCCGATTAAAGTCAGAAGCCTTGAGTGGCTTATCACATACGCTGCGCTGCCAGTGAATCAATGGCTTCACACACGACGTCACAAAAACGATCCCACCAGTTCGGACCTATGCATAGTTTGTACAGAAGGGGCGCAAAAAGACGTGGTAAACTGCCTAATTCAACGTAACGAGGCGACGAATTACTGGGCATGGGCCTCAGCCCTCTGGGACTCCCTTTTCCATGCCCCCTTCCCCGAACATCCCGTCCAAATCCTTCTCTGGACTAACATTCCTGACCAGCTCAAGAAGACAGAAAGGTTATGGTTCGGCCTGATCAGGAAGGTGACGTTATGGATCATTTGGAAAGGGAGATGCTGCAGAACCATCGAAGGGCTTTCCAACCCAAGAGAGAAGGTATGGGCGGAGACGAGAACCATGCTACAGGCTGAAATTCTTTGCAGATGATGCCTGAAGATGAGGATCTGCGAGAAAAGGCTAGGAAAAGCTCACCAGGCTGTGGTTAGTGGAAGGTAAGAAGGCTGAGCTACGGAACGACCGAGTGTACTGGAAAGACTGGCACAATTCAGAGACAGGCAGGAGAGCCCAGACTGTGCCTGCAACAGATAGGCAGCTGAGTTGAAGGGAGTAAGGGATACCAGGCTTCAAGAACGAGAGCCAAGAGGAGAGGCAAGGAGACTTAAGATTGGTGTAGGGAGGAAGTGACCTACCGGTAGGCCTGTCCAGGTCGGACAAGGCAGAGGGCATCAAAAGCTGATGCACTAGCTGACTCAGGACAGAGCAGATAGCCCCCTCTACATCAACGATGGACGGGTTTACACACCTTACAATAGGAAGGGAGAACACAAAAAGTACCCTTGGTTCACAGTCATCAGGTTGTCTCTAGAGGAGGTACAACAGAAAAGGGGTACAACAATAAGGGAGGGCGTAGGGTTTAAGGGTCTTAATCATCGGGTAATGGCTCAGGGGTTTAGGGTCTAAGGGTTTGGTCAGTCGGAACAGCTTAAGACAGCAGTCCTAGGCAGATTGTAACTGCTCAAGGTGACGAGGTTAGGGCTGGACTGAATCAGCGGAAACAGGGTGGAGGGTGATTGGTAGACGATAAGGGGTTTTAGGAAAAAGGGAAATGATACATATGCATGGTCAGAAAATGTGGGGGCTCAGGGCATGTTGAGGGGTAGGAGGGTTGTTGAAGGGGCAAGATCCTTTCTTGGTTTTCGGGACCTATATGGCAGGTTTTGTGCAGCAGACCTGAGAGGAAAGGGTATAGCACGGCAAGCTGACAGTCAATCCTCCATGCGGATGGAGTAATCAATGCTGGTCAGGGGTCCTTCGGCCGTACGGAAGAAAGCGTGTGTCTGTAATTATGATGTATTATTCTTTCGACTTGCCGGTGGAATAGGAACCGGACTGATGCTCCCCAGAATGGAAAAGGAGCCGGGGCCATAAGGTCCAATAAAAAAAAAAAAGGAGGAGAACAAAGACCAGCTGCATCGCACCTGAATGTCTGAGATGCTTGATGGGTCATAGGCTTCTGCAACATGTGTTGCTGAGGCCCAGTCTTGCTGGTGAATGTACATGTCAATGGCTTCCCTGGGCTTATCGGCCTTGATGAACTCCTCCTCAGCTTCTTTAAATCGCCCCTCATCCTCCAGGTACATAGCATATTTCAGGTGAACCTGGCACATTTAACAAATCCGAAGCTCTGTGTAGGTCAGTTCAAAAGAGTTCACCCCATGGTAAGGATCCAGACGTCCAGACCGCAGTGGGGACGGTCTGGGTGTGGATCTCCAGGTCTGGTGTCCGGTCCAGACTCCAGAGTGTCTGGATCCATCCCCCCACCACCAACCCCCCAAAAAAATCCGACTTGAAAAAAGAACTTTTTTTTTTTTTTTTTTTTTAATAGCAAAAGGTGGGCTCTTAAATCTGGATGGTCCGGAGCAGTCCAGACACAGGTCCGTCCGGACGTCTGGACTGGTCCTGTGTCTGGGTCCGGTGTAACCATGGTTTGCCCCTGAAGAGGGGATCTCCCAAAAGCTCCTACTTGCGTATCTAGGACCTTGGGAAATACTCAGGATTTGTGGTGGTGCTGATGGTGTTTCATATGAGATTGATACACCTCCCCATTTGAAGACTTACCCTGTCTTCCATGCCTCTAAGCAGTTGTCCTCCGCACAGCCTGATGAGTTCCCATCCTGCAGATCAACGATACCAGCTGATATAGACGGATCTTACAGCATAGAACGCATCCAAGAAGAAACAGATCTCCAAGTGGGTAGAGGAAGACCTACAAAACAGTACGGGGTTAAGTATTGGTTCCAGGACAGTCTGCAGGAGGACCGGTGGTACAGTAAATCTGACCTGCAGAAAACAGCACCCAAAGTCATTGCAGGTTACGAAAGGCAGCAAAGATGGATCCGCACATTGGATACCGATGAATAAATATTAAACATATAGATCTTGATTTCTAGTTTCTGCAGATAACCTTGAAACCGGGCGTGTAGGAGTGAAAGGATTCCACCTTCCTAGCCTGCTGTGGCTCGATCCCGAGACCTGTTGCTGTTGCTGTTGGTTGCATGCTGTACTATATGCGTGAGTGTTGTGCTGAGTTTTGCACCCGGAACCTTTACATTGTTGTTTTATGTTATTTCTGGAGTGGGATCATGCTGTTGTGTTGGTCGTTGCAGGAGAGGGCTTTTGCTTGGTGGAAAGTGAGCAATCGAGTAGGAGCGTCACTTCGATGTTCAGGGAGAGATCCTAGGGAGGGAGCGAGAGAAGAGGAGGCTTGCTTGTGTAGTAGGGATTGTAGCACACGAATACTGCGTTGACTCTAATCTGCATCTTTGTTTCAGCGGGTGGAAGGGCTAGCGTGGTGGGAAGTTACATTGAAGTGCAATAACCCATGCCATATGTCTCGTAGAAATCTGAGCGCCGACCTGGCCGCCCTCAGCCAGGCCAAAAACGAGGTAAGGGACCCCCACACAGGGATTCAGGGCCTGGGCGTGCCACAGTTGACTTTTGTCAACTGTCGCGACCCCAACAGTCAAGGTCCAAAGGTATCCAGTCCAGGCCACCGGTCAAGCACACACGCTTGTTTGTATGCAGGTACCCAGACAGCATAAGGTCCAAGGGGAAAATCTGCAACTGTACGATCCAGGCCTTCGGCTGTGACTCAATCAGGACGACTGAGGGAAGAAGACCCGAGGCCAGAGCGCCTCGACAAATGCTACTTAAAGACTGGCCTCGAGGTGGTCAGCATTCAGTCTTGCTATTCTGATTCAACGCTGGCTTGACTTTGACTTGACGCTGGCATTATGCTAGCGCGACCCTGGCTGGACGATGGCTGTGCATCAGAGCTGCGGACGTCGACACGAGGGAGAGGCGACGCTGACATTGTCCGCCAGGCATGCTGATGTGGCGCTGCCTCTGGTATATGTTGCGCTGCCCAAGGTCTACGTGGCATGCTGAGGTGGCGCTGCCCCTGGTATATGTGGCGCTGCCCAAGGTCTACGTGGCATGCTGAGGTGGCGCTGCCCCTGGTATATGTGGCGCTGCCCAAGGTCTACGTGGCAGGCTAATGTGGCGCTGCCTCTGGTATGTGTCGCTGCCCATGGTCTATGTGGCATGCTGATGTGGCGCTGCCTCTGGTATATGTGGCGCTGCCCATGNGCTGCCCATGGTCTATGTGGCATGCTGATGTGGCGCTGCCTCTGGTATATGTGGCGCTGCCCATGGTCTACGTGGTATGATGATGTGGCGCTGCTACTGTATACGTGGCGCTGTTCTTGGTCTTCATTGATGATGTGGCATATGCCACCTGTCTCGTCTGCTCATGTGGCATTGTCCACACTACTTACATGAGGTGACTGGTTGCGAGGGAGAGTGAGATCAGGACTGTGGAGAGATCGTGATACGTACCTGGTGGTATTCATGATGACATTGCTCCAGCGCTGATGAGGGACTAATTAGAAGTGCCACATGGCACATTGAAATTACTTCAGATACTCGTTCAGACTGTTGATTACTAAAGTGGCGTTGGAGGAGGGAGCCCGAAGCAGGAGTGGGCTTTGTATTTACTTCCTCTCCTTTGTCTAATCTCCCTCCTCTCTCCTTCGTCTGTGAATGATTATCTCGTCTTATTCCGTCTGGACACTATCTTGATTAGTGGTAATCATCAGCTGTTGCAACTAGACTTGCATTGTTGACATATGTCTTCACGATCTGGGTTCATTACAATTTGGTATCAGAGCATCTCTTCATCGTGATCTGCTGTCTGCTGTCAGGTTTTGACGTGGCACCCAGGTAAGTGGGAGGTGCCACATGTGCAGTATGAAACGTGTTTATTAAAGTGCGCGGTCATACCGCAAGTCTAGACATGGTAGTAGTGCACTTGCGAGCAACCATCCCTTGAAGATGATGACAAGGCTATTGCGAGGCCACTGCCTCTAAGAGCCTCACAAGGCCCCAATTTTGCAGCCCGTCGGGCGCCCTAAGTGAAGGCAGGCTCGACGAGGCCCTCAGGGCCCTTTTCTGGCCACCACGCAACTCAGGGAAATTCAGGCAGTTGCGCAGCGCCAGTTGGTTGAGTGACTGGGCCGCCTGTGTGAATGAATGTGAAACAGGCCCTGGGATGAATATGGGTACCGGGCCAAACACTGGCCAAAGGCAGTTGGGCACAAACAACCACTTCAGGCCCAAGGCCTGCTTTCGACGTGTTGGGCCTCAGGCTACCGAGGCCTACTGGAAGCTTCCGGGGACTGGACGCAGGCAGGCCACTTCGATATAGGGAAGGGCCTGCCTCCTCATTTGACATTCGGGTGCTGGCTGCATGCTGCGCAAGCGCTGCTGCGCTATTTGCTGGTTGGCGCCTACGCTCTCACGGGTGAGCAGGGAAGGAGCACGCAGCCATAGCCGAGCTGCGCTGCTGTAAGCTAGGTGAAGCGCAGGGTGGTCCTTGGGTGCTAGTGGCATCTGTGAGTTGGGGAACGAGGTTGTGAATGTAGCACGAGACATACCTGGTGCTGGAAGCGTGCGACATTGGTCGCCATATGCTCGTACTTCGGGAATGTTGTTGATGTCATCTTTCGGCTTCATAGTATAGGCTAGATAGGAT